TGGAGGAGGATAATGCCACCAATCAAACTCTTGATTCAAATAACAGATATTTTTCCTCCATTTTTAAGCGTCTGCTTCACAGTATTCACTATAAACACTTTCCACATGTCTAATAGTTATAACGGATGAGAAAACTTTAAAAGAACAGGACAGACTAGTAAAGAATTAAGCAAGGGTGGATGAGAAAGACTTTTCCCCCACCCCCAGATCCAGCTCCCGTCCCCCTGATGTAATTCCAAGAACACCAACAGTGACATGCTTTCTCTAAATTAATATACAAGTCTTGTATCCAAATGATTTTCTTGATTCCCAACGACTGCAGCCATTGCACGCTCTTTTAAGATACTAAGAGAAAGTGAAAATCCGCCTAGGAAAATTCTTAGGTCATTAATTAAATCCAGTGTCATCATTTCCAGAAAATCCCTGAACCAGAGACTCCAGGGGGTTTCCGGCTCAAAATTAGCACATGAATTGGTTTGTGTGGTAGTCTTATTAGAGGGAGTGCTAAAAAGGAGGATTTCCTCTCACGGCACTATGCTGTGGCTTTCCCTCATGGCACATCAACACTTACTAAAGTATTCACAAACAGGTTTCTGGGATCCTATGCAAAAGAACTGTCTATTTTCTCTCATGCTGTATTATTCATTCATTAAATGAGTGTAGTAGTGGCAAGCATGTATCCAGATGGCTGAAATAACAAAAGGTAAGCACATCATCTAAGTTTGTTTTCTTAGCTGTGACAGTGAGATGCAGCTAAGGCTGTGTCTGTTGAATGAGCTTCAACAGTGAATGCGCTAGTATGTGGTGTGCTGGTTGATCCAGAAATTTTAATTTCAGGCCTCTTAGGAAAAAACAAACAAAAAAACCTCATCCCTGTGAATAAATTAGAAAAAGAAACCCCAGAAAACCAACTCTATTACTCTGTAATTGATTCATTATAATTTTTTAGGCATTATCTGCTGCCCTGAGTCTGAGATACAAAAATCAAATTCAGCACATCTACCTAGTTTAAAGTAACAACATAATCACCTGTATGTCCCTCATTTAGGGATGGTGATCATGCAAACTTGGGAGGCTTAAATGACAAGCTGAATATTAGATTAAAGGCAATGGAGGAAATCAAAGAAAACTACAGACTATAAATAGGTGCCCTTTCATTTCAAAGAGTCCCAGTTGCTACCTACTTTATTACAGTATAAAGGTCTTCATTCAGGCTGCAAGCTTTCAGAGGAGCAGATGGTGTCCTGTCTGGTACAGGGGTCACAGCTTAAAAATCTGAAAGACGGGTCTTGAATAAACACCATCGTTTGAGTTTGATTATAATTTCAAATCTGATTAAATGTTGTAACCAAAACCTGTTCTTTTGATCTGTTCATCTACCACAGCCAATCTTAGTTGAGAAAAATCTGAAGCACTCAAAAGAAACAAAAATCTGATGGGCATATTTATGACAAGAATAGATAAGAGGCACGTTGTTGACATAAAGAGCAAAAGAATTCAGCAGGGGTTGCTACAAACACAAACAGCTGGTACTTGGTGTCAAACAAATCCCACCCCCACCCAAAACCAAACTGAAGGAGGTGGGATAACACTGAAACTGCAATCAGTTGGCCACAGAAATCCCTTTTGTCATCAGCATTTAACACATTTCAGGACTTTAAAGAAGTCTGACTCATACTCACCTCACAGAAAGAAGATCTTGCTCGTTGCCTCTCATCGTCTTCACAAGAAGGAACCCACCGTGATGCCATCATTTAGCTTCAGTTAAAATGCTGATGTCTGTAAAGCACCACATGAAAAATGTAGCTCCACCAGGATGTTAAAAAAAATGCTCCAATCCGATTCACACCTCCATACTTGCTGGATTTCTTAATCCATCTGTTTGAGAGATATGAGATGACATATGTGTTTAGTGCATTTAAAAAAATGAATTCAAAGGCAGATTTAGGAATCAGCTGCACAGCAATTACATCTCACACTACTCCAAGAGTCTGTACAAACAACATGAATGAATACCTTGGTTGTTTATAATAGCAGACCACTCGTGATTAATTCTAGACAATCAGCGTTATGCAACAGGGTCCTAACCAAACGCTACTTCTAAATGCTGTTTTTGTGTCTCATCCTTGGAGAGCTTCACACTCAGGTGCTTGAAAACAGGCTGATTCAGGGTAATACTATGTGACGGCACATAATAAAAAGTTAGAACAAACTTAATTTGACAGTCAACTGTAATAATAATTCATTTTAACTAACTTAATGAAGTCTAACAATGTTGTAGTAGCCAACACCAGGACTATAACCAGCGTAAAGCACAACAACGTGGAGAGCCAGCGGTGCATTAACTGAATAGCCAGCAACAAGTGGACTGGGGACTGTCGGGAGGCTGGGCGAAATATGTCCGTCGCATTCAAAATTGAGACACGAAACCCCACAGAAACTATTTCTTACAAAATAAAAACACACGAGCTTTATTTGCCGTTTGTGTTTCACGACAAAGCCGACGTTTGTGCTTTTTAGAGGATGGATTTCAATCACTTGATTGAAATCGATGTTTAAATGAGACACGAAGGGAGCATGCCGAGCTGTTGTTCCCGAGCGCTCAACAAAAGAAGCTTTTCCCTTTGTTACTTTACATAAAATACCACAATAAAAGCGGTCCAAACGTCCACACGAGGCACTGCTGCCCCTTTTGCGTGTTTATGGAAGCTCCCTGTAAAACTAGCAAAGTGGGCAAAAGCGACAACCAAGCAAACTGCGGCAACAGGCTGCTAACAGTTAGCCTCCATGCTAACGGTTGGAGTTAAAACAAAGTTACCTGTGTAGTTGAGAAGCGTCATTACAGGCTGTCAACGACGGCGATGCTTATCCATAAAAATCCACAGAAAAAGTACAAACATATCGTGTATGGTCCAGTGTGGAGGGCGTTGTCATAATTTAATAGAGTCTGAGTACAAACGACTTTCCGGTGATTAATCCAAACCTACTCAGTGGAGGCGCATGGTGCAGTTCGGAATTTTTTTTTTTTTTTTTTTGTGCCTCCACTGTTCCCGACTCCCTGGGAGTCCACCTTCGGTCAACAGGACACTATCAGCCAATCAGGAGCGGGGTTGTATTTGACCGGGCCAATGAGGCGCGAGTTTACAATAAGCTTGTATCTGCGCTTGTAAACGGTGGCGTTTTTTTTTAACCGTTCCCGTGAACTATTAGAGCAGTATTCCCGGGAGAACAGGGGAGAAGATGAAAAGATGCATCGTGTAACAAATCCGCAATTCAAGCCGTTCAAAAACTCGTCGTGGTTTTGGTTTAATACGCACAGCAAGGGTGAACGAGGAGTCACATGCCCCGGTTCAAAGTGAGGTCGAGCTGAGCTAGTAATGTGGAGGGCAGTGGTGATTTCACACATACCACACAGCATAAAATCTTTTCTTTCATCTTATCCACGAAGCAGATAGTTAACAATAAATGGACACTCCTTCGCTGCACTTTAGCTGCAGACTGAAATAAGTGCTCGGATTCTCGGGCCCCTGACAAATGCCCCTTTTATGCCTCTCCAACATAAGGAGCCACCTGTTCCTGGGACTGGCAGCTTTTGTTACAGAGGTCAGTTAGGGAGGAGAATTTCACAAAGCTGTCCTGTCCAGCCGGTTCTACTTTCAGTGGGTCCAAGTGGGATATATCAGCTCTGAAAATTGATATAAAACCTAAATACTTAGCATTATATCTTCAAGCAGCTGTTTTTCTTAGATTTATGGTGTACATATTATTTATTAATGCAATTTGAGCTTTTCTCTTACACAGTACCAGTATTGTACTGTTATTAACTTCATTTTAATTTTTTTTAAAATAACTATATTGTTTATTATTGTGTATTGTAAATGTTGGGGGGGTTTTTTTCAATTATTTTTAGTTTCCGTTTGTATGACTTTGTAATTCTGGAGAAATCACTCATTTCAGCCTCCATTAAAGTCAGCTGCACTAAAGCCTGTAGTTATTTAGATCCAAAAACGTTTTTTTTATTACAATGTGATGTGTAATGCACATGTAGCACCCATGCACCCATAGTGCTGAAATTGCACTAATTCTTTCAGACATGTAATGCTGATATAAACACATATTTATGTCACACACATTTATATTAAAAGGTTTTTGTGCATTTGTTTAGCTGGACTACACAGCTCACTTGAGATTATATTGGGCTGAATGTGGCCTGTTAATTAAAGGTAGTTTGACACCCCCGCTTTAAAATATTACAACTATATTGAAGTTTGGTCCATAGTAAACTGAGAAATGCTATTGACATCCAATTGTAAGATATTATACATGAACTTTTTCTGTAATTGTGAATATTTACAGTGGTGCATTGCTGCTTTTGCTTCTGAAAAAGATCAGACTACTTCTTCCACTACTGTAAAAAGTACTGACTACAAATTTAGGGGTTGCAATAATGTAATTCAGTTGTAGCTCTTACTTTATCACTGTTGGAGGTCTGGTGAGTCAAAAAGGCAAAGTCTATTCACTGTCCCAAGAGATGGTTTTCTTTATGGCACGTTGTGCTCAGTGCTTAAGCAAAGGGAGTCACATGTCAAGTGCATACAAAGAGCACAGCAGCTCAGCACAACGAGCTCTCTTTTGTTCATTTTGTAAGTTCACTTACAGTTAAAACCCCCTTTTTAAAACAAAACAATGGCAACCTGATGTTTCAGGATGCTTTTGGTTTAAAGCTTTGCTACTTCAGGGCCTATATAGGTGCCAGTTTTCCATAAAATTAAGAGAAGCTCAACACCATTAAAAAGACATATGAAAAAAAGAAAAAGACTCCAAGCCCCTTTTGTATATCATCAGCCTAAGAAACATATTACACAAGGTCTTCTTTATATTCATAGCTCAGCCAAGGAACCATTGTAAATCAATTAGTACTAAAAACATTCATTCATAAAATCATGTGGGAACATTAATAGTAGAATGCAGAAATCTTAAAAAAACATTTTATTGTATGTTAGAACATAAACTGATACAGAGAAATGACAAAAGTACTCTACAGCAAGTGAAAAAACAAGCAAACACACACACAAAGGAGGTAGTAATGGCACTTAGTGTTGACAAGACTTGAACTGTTTCTCCCCTGTGTGTTAAAAGTGATGGAAAATCAGATGAAACTTTAAAAAGGCATCGCACAGGTGGAGAACAAATTAAAAAAAACCCAACTTCCTTTCATTTTAGGTTTTGTTGGTATTCCTCACATGCAGTGGTTATTGAATGCTTTACATTTCATAAAAGAAGCAGTACACCTGGGATGATTGGATGCTTTAGATATAGAGTTAGAACAGCATTCCCCCCACTTAACACTACACGTTTTAAACCTGAATCACCTGTGTCAAAGCAACAAAGCTCCGACTTATCCTCAAGCATGCGCTTTTTGTGTTCAAATCTCCAGTTAAATGTTGCAGTGTGTGTTGTTAAAAATGTTAACATGTTCGGAACCAGGAATGTTATAACAACGCAGGCATGATTGGGATCAGATGTCACCATAGCAGCTGTAAGTCAATGGCATCTCACAGGAAGTGTCTGGGCTTGCTGTCCGATGACATCTGCTCGACAGTCGCCTCTATCGCCGGCCCTCTCTTTAAATCTTATATTTCATCTTCCCGGTGTCGCTGATCACGCAAATGTGCTAAAAGAAGCACCAAAGCACAGGTCTTTATTGTGTTACTGGATTCCCAATACAGTCGTCAAAAAAAAAAGAAAGAAAGAAAGAAGCCAGACACTGACTTACACTGAGATCTCTAAAATACTCATTGTAGTCTAAAGCATATCCAACCACAAAACGATTGGGTATCTCAAAGCCGACATCTGAAAGCACAAAACGACAAAGGCAAATATTTCCAATAGTTTGGGACTCGGCAAATGCAACAATTTTTTTAACTGTGAATGACTCACTGAGCCATAAAAGGGTTGGTCAGGTACGTACAGTCAGGAACACATGCTGAGCTATGCGGCACTCTCTTCACCAGCAATCTGAGGGAAACAAAAGCAGACATTATTTACAACAGCCGACTCAAACCGTCTCAGGAGACAGCGTCACTTCAAAAAAACCTGCAGTACCTGAGATCTGCATCACAATGTTAGTCTTTGCCTCTCTGTGTGTCTGTGTGTGTGTCTCAACTGAAAGGGGAAAACAGTGATTCGCAAAGCAGGAAATTGAGCTGGTTTTGTTTGGCGGCTTTACCCTGCTACTTTGATCATTTTGGGCCCGAAGGCTTCGACGTGCTTCAGGAGAGTCTTCATCGTCTTTCCGGTGCCTACAATGCCCTGTGAGGGTGGGGGTGGAAGATGTAGAAACTGGACTGAGAAAGTAATAACATGGCAGTGAGGAAAAAAAAAGAACAAAAACTCAATTCTTCTTTCTCTGGACTAGAAGTGATACAGAAACTAAGTGCAGTCAGTGTCACACTGTACTCAAATTACGCAACTGTTTACAAGCATTCACTAGGAATTACTTGAATTCACTGAAAAGAGGAATTTAAACACAAACATGTGATATTCAATCAAAAAAAAAAAAAAAACGTCATCTGACCTCTTGCTCTACGATGTAGGCAAACGCTGAGGCGAACCAAAGCCACAGCAGTACGCTCGATCATGTCAGTGTGCCGCTGGTCAGTACGCACTACAAATATGTGAAATGTGTGACTGTCCTCACACATTTTTCATCTGTCACTGAATATGAGCCAGAACAGACTAACAGCCTTAGCCTAATTATAATACTGCAGGAATTTAAGATTTTAAAACCTATTTTACTTATTTTTAAATGCACTTTGCTTGTTTCCTTCTCTCATTTCATTTAAATTAAATGACCCATATTTAAATTCCTTACACAAAATAACTATTATGATGTAGTATGATCTGTTTTCTGTCAAGTCAGCTCAAGAGCCTCTCACTACCACAGTGAATGCTTTATAAATACTTTATTATCACAGTCCTGGTAAAAGTGGGGTTTCTATACAGAGGTCAGTCACTACATTGGCTGCACTTGCCAATAATGCCAAATCCTGTGCTCAAAACGTTGGTATTACTTTTGACAGGTGTTTGAGTTTTGAATCTCATGTCTCTAAGCTCATCCAGTCATCTAAGAAATATCGCTAAAATCCTTTGCTGTGAGCCCCGAACTACACACTTGCTTCCCTTCACTGGCTCCCAGTGAAATTCAGACCACACTGCAGATTTTTATCAATCACAAAGCCCTGCATGGCCTGCTGAGGTGTTATATCACCTGATCTCTGATCACCTGATCCGGGTCTTTTAACTGCTCCACGCAGGGGCGTCTCCAGAATTTTTTCATAGGGGTGGCCATATGGGAGGTGGGGGGGGCACAAAAAACAGAACTTCCAGTTTTATTATGCTGTTGTCAAACACAGGTTACTTGAAAAATATGGCAAAAAAGAGAGGAAGAAAATATATATACGCTTAGTTAATTTCCTGATATTAAAGTTGATATCACTGAAAATCGGTACCTGTGTGTATTTGTAGGTACTGTTTGTTGGGATATGTACACTTCTTTAAAGTATTCTCCTATCTCTCTCGTATCTAGTGAAACATTTTGTAACCTTGTGTGTTTCAGTGCGTTAGTATTAAAGTCATTACTATCTATCAGTGCTTGTATTTTACCCCTTGTAAATACCATGGAGTGATGACTGCCATTTTACAATACTGATAGCAAAAAGGGTTTTTTACTGACCAACCCACTGCACAAGTCAAAACTAAGACAAGGTTGTCTTTTTAAAAATGCAATTGCATAACAAGTACACAGCAGTATCTATGTCTTATAAATATGGAAAATTCTGCCTGTGGAAATCCTGTCGGCTGAGTCATCGACCTCCTTAGAGCCTTTCCTGATTTTGACTTTTTATTTCCTTTTAACTCTGTTACTTCCTGTAAAATGTGACGCACCTGATGTAATGTATTGGTTTTTATGAGACGCTAAGTCTTTCCATCTTGCTTTATCCCGATGACGTTGACACACAATAAAGATTTTAATATTACTTAAAGCTGAAGCGGCCACAGATTGCGAGTTCCCTGTCACACACAGTTGTGCACTGACTAAAGGGAGCTGTTTCAAAATGTTTACTCCTACAATCTTTTTACAGTAAGTATCATGAATGCCCACGATGATGACTGCAGGCCTACATTTCCTTTTTATTTTTTTGCAGTGCACCTATTCCAGTATGTAGGGCAAGGCAAGATTTTCAATGATGTTAGTTAAAACACACACACACACACACACACACACACACACACACACACACAAAGCAATAAATCTATTTGGTTTCTCAAATATGGGTCAGGCAATTAAAAAGTGTCCTCATGTTGAATTCAGGACCTTCAAGAAGAAGATAAAAATTTTAAATGAGTTTTCCTGACCTGGAAAACATCATCATCAACAACAACAACAACAACAAGGAACACAATAAGGTCCATTTGGTGAACACGGGGAAAAGCAGAGTAGCAAAAACATGGCTGACTCACCTCCACAACCAGAACATTCTTATGGAGCGAGCATGTCGAGGAGAAAAGAGAGGGCAGGAACAAACAATTACTCTTGATTGAAAACTGATAATCTGCTCCACACTTACTCCAAGACTAAAACTCACACGTTTAAAAAAAAGACAAAAGCCATTTAGAGGTGATTTAAGAAGCAATTAATTATAAACAGAGAAATACACTTTGTTGTGTTCTAAAGTGCAAAACAAAACCAACTGACAAATAATGTTTCAGGAAATGATCAGGCTGCAGCTGAAATAAAAGGAGAAGTACTGAAATATGGCCAATATCAGCTAAACCAACCACATTTTTTCATACACTACATCCGCGAGACTCTTTGCATTTATGATATCAGTGATTCAGCTAAACGAATGATCCTAATCCAGATTGGAAAGCTATGTTCCTGCAGCGCTGCCCTGAATGTCGCACAGAAATAGCTGAAATTCTGCGAATGTCTGTCTAATAAACTGAAGACGACTGGGCAGTGTCTTTATTAAGAGCCGCTATCTGGGCTTCGCTTCAACTTAGCTAGGACACGATGAAAAGTGAAACTCTCTAACTGCCGGAGTTTACTCCACTTTTTTAAACAAAGGGTTCATCCGAGGGTGCAGTCGTGCTTTGTTTAGGAATCATTATTCATCCAGATTTATTTAGAGCGCACTAAACCCTGGAGAAATGCAAAAGCAATGAGCTATACAAGATATGTAAAGCTCACTGTCTGAAAACTACATTTCAGGGAGGTCAAAAAGCAAATGAACAGTAATGTGTACACTGTTAAACAATTAGGTAACCTCTTCCTGGAAAGCATCACCTCATTCTGTTAGGACCTGGGACAAAAATTAGCAGCACGTCACAGTGAGCTCAGGGATTTCACAAGCACACTAAAGATTCTGTGAGGAAAGCAGTGAGTCAAGCCTACTACCTCATATCCTATTCAAGTTTTAGGCACCTGGCTACTGTGTGCATGTACTGCTGAGGTATGCGTATGACTGTGAATGTTCATATCAGCTGACTTTAATTATCTAAAAATACCACTGCTGACTTGTAACTCCCATAGTAACGGTTAATGATTCATCCCTCTGTATGCTTACATAGATATGTGCACGTGTGTGTGTGTGAGTGGGAGTTAAAGCTGCTTACTTGGCAAAAAGGTTGTACACAGATTCTTTTATAAGAAATATATGGGTATGAACAGCAGAGCTCACATAATTGTGAGATGGTTCAAATCTCTGGTGAAAATTGGAATTTAGGCCGGTTTTATTTATTTATTTTTTTCTAATAAACCAGATTTAGTAAACAGAAATGTGGTTTGAATGCTCTGTTATGCCAAACACATTTACTTAATGCTAAGAGGAGTGCTGTGTGCTCTCTATAGGCTCATCTTGTCTGTCTTTTTCTTTTCTTTCTTTCTTTCTTTAATTGTGTAATTTAGGCCACTTTCCCTGCTGAATAGTCTTTGAACCTTTTAGGACTTTCCAGATTGAATATAAGCACACAAATATTTTCTCATTAGTTTTTATTTCAATTTTTTGTTTTGAATTCTGCTTATTTTCAGTTAGTTTCTTGTTTCAGTTTAGTTTTTATTGTATAAAATGTTTACTTTTACTTTAGTCTGAATTAGTTTCAGTGTTAGTTTCCATCTTTGTATTCACCATTGTATGGTGGGCACATGTCCAAGGCAAGATTTGGGCAAATCAGCAGAGGTATTACAATAAAAACACAAAACCATTTGAAAGCAGTTGACTCACTGTCTCATGGACATCTAAAGACATCCATCAACGCCTCATCAGGCATGTTGTAACTACATTTTTACCAACCTAAAACTAAGGGTATTTCCTCTATACTTTTAATTTTATTTCAGTTAGTTTTCAAAGTTCACAATATTGTTTCAGATAGTTTTAATATTTTTTAATTTGTTGCTTTTATTTTTGTTTTAGTTGACTAAAATGTTTTAGTTTGGTTTAATTTCACTTTAATAATACCTCTAGTGGTCACTCAGCACTATGAATGATCTGCTGCCGTCACAGAACCCCATCATGCTGTAATCAGTGCTGATTATTCTTTCTAAATCAAACTAGTTACATGTCATGTAATCAGGGCCTTTAATGTTAGATTGAGTCCTTCCTAACCTGCTGTAAACAAACAAATAAAATGTTTTCTTTGTCATATATACAATTATGTATATATGTATTTTACAAGAAAACAGGATGAAAGCATCTAAAAGTTTTGCTTTTCTTATTTCCAATCCTGGAAATGATTTTACAACTCTTTATAATAAGGTGACTGTCATCACCACAAGTCTGCACTGTTTCACTGAGACCCTTTGTTAGGTGGCATGCACTATCAAAGGCTGGCAACAGCCTGCACACACACTCGAGTTCTGTGAGCTACCATCTCTAATTACAGGATAACACGACGAGCCGTAGAAGAGGGACTGTGTTAAGTAAATCTGTCATCCCCTTGATCTACCGAGGTACGCACTCAGTATGGCCTCCAATTTACACCATACATTTTGCTTCACTTGAGATAAAATGGAATAAACCTTTTGTCATAGCTGGCATGTGATCAGCGCTAGGTGTGTCAGAAACTGCCATCTTTGATCTCATTCACTGAAGTGAGGCAAACAGCACATTAGAGGGAAGGGTGCCCTCTTGAGGCTGCTGTCTATCAACAATCACCATCTCCATGCTACCTATTTTTACAAAAGCAGGGCCCATCATAAGGCTCAGACGTCTCAATGATAATGAAAATCTTACCTTTCCAGCTAATAAAGACAAGTCCTCTCCTCCGAGGATGTGAAGATCCTCTGTTGACTCGTCATTCTGTGGACATAAAATACAGGAGAAATATTTTCAATTATCCATTCATCTATCTATAAGAGATATGATCTCTCAAGAATGCACTGAGTCTATCCTGGAGCTTCATCTCATTTGGACATGGCTGAAAAAACACCTCACCCAGGAGGCATTAGGGGTGGGGGGAAAAATCGATACTGTGTAGTATCATGATATTTTGTTTGCTAATAATGTATCGATACAGGGACAGCAGAAATCGATATTTTGTTACAAAAAAGTTTTTGTTCTCTGACTTCAGAGCATGTTGATCAGCTCCTTTTTCTGAGCAAGAATCCTGACATTCCTTCACTGTCCAAATGTGTTTAACTTTTTTTTGGCAGCAATAAACATGACAGTTTACTTATTTTAATTTAAGACATGTTTTTTTTTTTTTAAGTTTAAAACTTTTTTATTTAATGTAAAATTATATTTTGTTTTAATTTACTTTCAAATTCTTCAGTTGCTGAATGGGCTGCATAGTTTTCACAAATTGCATAGTTCAGAATAGCTATAATTGTACCAGATGGTTGCATTCAGTTAAGTTGGACTAGACTGTAATACAAACCGTTCAGTTTGTCAACAATATAACTGACTGAAATGAGAGAAAGACTGAGTGCGAGACTTTGATATTAGATAAAATGAATATTGATAAAGTTAACCTTTATGTACAGAATCTGAATATCGCAGATATTTTAAAAAATCGCAATAATATCGTATCGTGCATTAAGTATTGTGATAATATTGTATCGTGGGATGTATGGTGATTCCCACCTCTAGGAGGCATGCAAGTCCAATGCCCGAACCAGCTCAACTTGTTTAATGAGGTATATCTGTTCAATTCCTCATTAACTCAGATATAATCAACTAATCACATGACAGCAACTCAAAGCTTTTATGTATGTAGACATGGTTAAAATGACCAGCTGAAGTTCAAATCGAGTTTCAGAATAAGGATAAAAGAGGAATTAAGTGACTCTGAGCATAGCTTGGCTGTGACTGTGCCAGACCGGTCTGAGTATTTCAGAAACTGCTGATCTACTTGGATTTTCCCACAGAACCATCTCTAGGGTTCATAGAGAATTGTCCAAAAAAGAGAAAATATTCAGTAAGTGCCAGTTCTCTGCGTGAAGATGCATTGTTGATGCCAGAGGTCAGAGGAGAGACTTCATTGATCTGATAGAAAGGCAACAGTAACTCAGATATATCTGTATGCACATCACACTGAACCCTGGAGCAGATTGGCTGTCACAGCAGAAGACCACACCGGGTGCCACCTTCGTCATCTAAGAACAGGGAATAATTCTCCACAGAGAAGTTTAACCCTGTGTAGCTTGAAGGTGTACCCAATAAAGTGGCCAGTGAGGGTATCTCACCAGCAGTACTTCACAGCTAAAAAAAATTGTCAGCAATCACATCAAATCATAACAGCACTTTCAAGGCAAAGTTAGAGGAAGACACCAATGTTCTAATGCATGAAAAATAATACACATCTTGTGACTAACTCTAAACTCACAGGTGATACTTTTGAGCGTGAAAATGCTTTCCACTTCTCACACAAATGCCACTCAAGATAAACTGTCAGCTTTCTTTGCTGAAGTGGGCAACAGCTCACCAAGTAACTCTTGAGACGAATGAAGTGTACCGTCATGGGGATTGTGCGGTTGGAGTTGTGGCTAAGGTCCTTGATCCTGTCCACCAGGTCGGCACAAAACTGGTAACCTCCTTTCAGCACGCACAGGACCACAATGGCGTGGTTCCCCAGGTCATCCATGATGTTTCTAGCGAGACGTTCTGTTCTGTGTACAATGAAGAAAAGGTGAATTACCTCTAAAAGACCTCTTTTCTCGTCAGTTAAGACAGTTTTGAAATCCCTGTCGGTCCACAACCATATGTGATGTTTAAATTTGTTTAGCTTTGTGTTATTATTTCACCATATTGAATAATTCTGGTTAAATATGCAAAGACAGGTAAACTGATTGATTAACCGTTTACTACATTTAAATAAATGTTTTAAATATTTTATAAGAAAGAAAAACAGATGGCTCACATGTGATTTAAACTGACTACTGGCAAAGCACTTTTTGACACTAATTGAGCACCTAAAACGCTTATTCAGCCAGTCGCACGCACATTCCTACTGCACTTTTTATTCTATGCCTAAGCAACTTGTTTAAACATCTGACCACAACTATACATAGTAGTACATGCCCATGCTTCAGTACTGTTCCGCCCGCTCATGCTGTTTGACATGAAATGATAATCATAAGGTGTTCTACGTGCGTAAATTCTAAAAATGGTTGATTTGAGCCCATTGCTAGCTGGTTGCCAGAGAACCTCTTTTGTAGATATAAATTACAACTACTGTTATTACATAAAACTGACATAGTTCTGTTAGTGCACGGGTATTAAGAACAGATCATTTTAGACCTTTGTTAGACGATTGCTGGGAAACATCATGATGTCATGATATCGGTAATAGATTAAAAACTTCAGGTGCATAAAATGTACCCGTGTGCCAAGTTTGGTTATTCGGCTCCTGATCGTGTAACGGCAGGTAGCAGAAACATAAACAAACCCACATACAGAGCTTTTGTGTTTTACAGTAAGATAAAAAGCTTTGTGTCACGTGACAAAAACACTAATTATTTAATTAAAAATTCATTTTCTGATTTCTTTTATAGACATACAGAAGTTAATAAGTACTATTTAAAACAAAGTATGATTGAACTCCTGCTGGCTTTTCTCTTTTTACCAAAAAAGTATGAATACACGCGGGGAGTTACTGTGGGATTTGAGCTTTCATTGGGGAGCTGTGGTTTTTTATTTGTTTTGTTTGTTTCTTTGGGGAATTTCTAAGCTTTACCAGGATTCATTTCAATAAAAGCATGCCAAAACCTCCGTCAAGTTCATATCGCATAATCTGTGCATGATATCCCCTGGATTTCCCCAGAAACTGTACAAAGGCTTTTATGCAGCCCCCGTGCAAAAGCATATGGGAACATTACTTCCTTGATGCACGATTTTATCAAAGAACAAAGAAAGCGACTTCCCAGTTGTAGCCATGTACCTGTCCATAATCACGCCATGCGGGATGATGACACAGTCTAAATCTCCGGAGTAGTGTGCTGGATAGCTGAAGAGATCTAAACTGTAGCCTGGCCAGTCATCTTTAATCTGCAGGGGGGGAGATAAACACAAACATCATGTTTCTGCTGTACTACAAGGAGAAAAACAGCGGGTACGAGTTTTATCTTGTTTGCACCAGAAGCGCATGTGACTTTAAGCAATCTGCAAGGCGCGCAAAGTTGTCTGCCTGCGCAAATTGTGCATCCATACACGAGCGACGCTTTTCTTCGACACTTGTCCCTTCCCCGTCAGCCCCCTAATTTAATTACCACAATCCCCTCGCTTCTTCCTTCGGACTGGACGGCAAATTCTGCCATGTTGTTTTTCCACCGCCACAAAAGGAGCTTTTGTCTCAGGAAAGTTGATAGAGGGAGTTGGCACCAACAGGAGAGAGGAGGAGCATCGGGGTGAAGGAATGTTAGGAAACCGAACACTTTGCATTTCTCGCTGTCAAACAGCAACCATCCAGCAGGGGCGCTCTAACATTACATTTACATGTAGTGCTGCTTTTCATGGGGCCCCACCTTTCTGTGTGTACCTGTTCAAGGGCTAGTAATGAAGTGATCACTTTTTGGCACAAAACCGGGCAGTGTTGGAGAGAATACCCAAAACTAACAGTATACTACAGCATACAATCATGAGGAAAATCATGCAACAAAAAATATATATATTTATTAAATGTTTTTATTATTCAGAACGGGCAGTGCCGTGGAGATCGTTTCATGAAATCTGCCTTTTTCTAACCATGCATCATTTTTACAAAGTTACAAGTCTTTCAGCTGAAAACTCCTTCTGTAAAAAGGAGAGCAGCTCTGAAATGCAATCATCAGTATTCACCGGAAGGCTTGATATTTGTTGATTTTGAATTGCCATGTTTTTCACATATGCATATCATTCTGCTGTCACTGTTTTTCCATGACAGGAAAATACACAGAGACTGAATCTGAGTGGTTTTCTGAGAGAAAAGAGTGAAAGAGATGGATCAGCTGCAAAGAAAACAGAAGAGGCGTCATCACTCTGGGGATATAACGAAAGTTTTTAGTGTTGTGCAAGAGTAACTGGGGGAAAAACCCAAAACTGAAATGCTGATTACTGATAGGGTAGGGTTTTACTTCAGTCAAAACATTCCCACTGGGAAATACTGAAAGCAATCTTTCCTGTTCCATATCACAGTGTGGAGGATGTGAAAGTTTTGACAAAATGTGTTAAAGTCGCCATCTAGTGGAAGAAGACAAACACTTCTGGCTCTTCTGTACACAGCTTTTCTTCTGATCAATCATTTTGTCTTCATGTAACTGAATCTTTAAACAGCCTGGATACATGACCCCTCTTAAACATTCATTAAAACGTTGCCTTGTGCCATTATAAAAATAAGAGATGAGTAACAGACTGTAATACAGAAAAATTCAGGGGCCACACCCTGTCTCCTGTGCATGATATAATCTGTGGGTTACAGTGTGTGAATAAGTGAATTTAAGATGAAGCATCCAGGCAATGTGTGAGTGGTAGTTTCACTGCATATTCAAGCAGTATGGGCTCTGCTGAGAAGAGGGAGACACAAGGTGTCTGAGCCACTCATCCATGCCCCTTCCACAGCAGCTGCAATTTAAACAGTGCTTCACTGACAGCTGGAAAACAGATGTCAACAGCAGCATTATATTTCAGTTGGCCTGTGCAGTGTCACCACCTCGGCGGTGTGAGAATTACGCTGCATGACAAAAAAAATCCCTCAAAAATTAAGTAAAACTCAGTCTGCGTGAGTTATCTCACTTGATGTTATTGTTTCAGATGACAAAGCTGCAGGCTTGACACTGGAATAATCTCGCTCATGAGCATCTACTGCAGCACTGCAGAGGCCAGGAGATGAGAAGTCTTGTCAGATTGTTTTTGAGGCCCTCTCTGCTGGTGAGCACAACCCGGCTCCTTCGCTGCCCTCGGGGTGCAGGGGAGCAGTTTGGCTTTGGCACTTCACACTCGCTCAGCAGTCAAGGCCTCTGACCGTCCGCAGACTATACCACCAACTGCTCCCACATACCCTCGGCCCTGTTGTTTGGCCAATTATGAATATTCACTTGCTATGAATGTAATTCTGTCAGACATGCAACTGTCCATTCAGATATTGTCAGCGGTGTTGTTTGTATTTGAAGAATCTGATCATTTTCTCATTTTCTATCAGATTTTGAGCCAAATCACGGACTTCAAGTGATTTTGCTTGAGCAATGTCCTGCATTGTTATCCTACTAAGACACATCATGAGCCACACTAAGAACTGAATTTTAAGCTTACAGAAAAACTCAATAGACCATAAAAATTTATGTAAGGTGTAAGGTGAGACTTCTTTGTTTGAATTTTGGGTTGATGAGGGGAATCCAATCAGAAAAAAATTGGGTTTTAAGGAGGAGGAAGGTAACTGGCAAGTGTAGATGAACAGAGGAGTCGCACCAAGCTGTGAATCATACAAAGCTACTTTGGTCCAAGAATAAATATATCGAGCTGGAAGAAACCAAAATAGGTCTCCTTTAAAGGCCTCCTTCCTCAGCAGGACACAAAGAGCTTGGAGCTTGGTGAGTATGACAGAGTAAGAGATTTTTTTTTTTTGTCTTGGTCTTTGGATTTGTCATGACATGACGTGAATCACATTGATTAATGCAATAACCTATTGTGCAACAATCTAAACCCCTGGGTCCTGACATTCATGTGAATACTATGCAGACATACTAAGCACAACCCACACAGCAGCAACAACCGCCATCAGCAGCAGCCTCCCCCAGCACGACAATTTGTCATCATGAAAAACTGCTCGAGCAACATGACAAGGAGCTCAAGGTGTTGACCGGGCTCCCACGCTATCAACAAACATGACAAAAAATTATATTAACAAGACCAAATCTACTTCAGTCTGTAACAACTGCTGAAAAATACTACCAATTAAGAAAGAGCCTGTCAGTGTCAGCCAGTGAGAGGTGCTGATGAGTATATACAGAAGCTTTTGTGGCTCACAGTCAATACACTCTAAGTTTCTGGATGGCACAGTGGTGTAGCACCACTAGTCACAACAAGAAGATCCACAACTGGGACCTCTCTGTTTGGAGGTGCTCCAGCTTCCTCCCTCAGTCCAAACACATACCTGTCAGGTTAACTGGTGATTCTAAATTGGACTTGCTTGTGAGGTAGATAAAGTGCTTTAAGTGTACAGAATAAATTGCTCTATGAGTGTATGGCTAAGGTACAACCTGAAGTTAAAAATGCTACATAAACACATGTGTGTTACATCCTCAGTACACACAAAACCCTCTGTTCACTGTAAATGCTTGGATTTGGTTCAGTGTGCTTTTATCTGAGTGCATGTGTCCAAATATGTTGAATATGTTTGGACAAGAGCCATCATGAATGGTAGGAAGATGTGGAGCCATTAAGGGAGTGGGGGCTCACTAACCTTGGCTGACTTTCAGTTATCACAGCAGTGATTACCATCGCGCCATTGACGCCTCCGTGTGAGCAAAAACGTAGAGTCGTTGCTGTCTCGTAAAGCCACAATAATAAAAAATGCTGGATGTATGATCGCTCTGCATTACATATCATTTTAATGTGTTGAAAACCCTTTTCTAACAAAGCAAGTCAAGCACAGTGGTGCACATTAACACATGTTGAAAACCCATGAGCTAATTCACAAGAATAGGAAAACAAACAAACAAACAAACAAAAAAAATAGGAGCCTACATTAAGCACACCATAAAAAAAATACAAATACAAACAAATAGGCCACACAACATAAAAAGTGTCTATAAACAAGGTTAGACTGCTCAGAAAACACATTATTTGACAGAATGACTCGTCCCTTCTTTAAGTACTTCATCGTTAACGCTTCCTTGTAAAACTTTGATACTGAGAAGAATCAGCCTGATAGGTATGGAGGCAAGCATGACTTTAAACATCTATATTTGTTTTGGTGCCAGTTCTAGAGTTACTAAAGCACTTCCAGCAGAATAATGCACTGATTTATATGCAAATGAACATCCTAACAAGGACACAATTCAACAAAAAATGCGTAACACGTCAAAAACTGTCCTCAGCTGAGCCGCAGTTCATCCACCTGCTCCTTCCGTCGTGACGGTGATCATTGGCTTCATGCTACGAGCATCTGTGGGCCTGCGCCGCAGCTTCAGGAGCAAAGATCCACTGTGCGAGCATGTAAAACTCTATTAGCATAATGACTTCCCCGTTTAAGTGGATTGCAACAAACTGAGTTACATGCGTCTTTGACAAACTTTTGTCTGCGATGAAAGCAATATTTCTTTTCATCTTTCTCTCGGAAAGGATCGGGATTAGTAACAAAGTAACCAAACACGGTGAGTAAACTGAGCAGTTTTGTTTTGGCATGATCAGAATCTGCTGCGATAAAGAAGAACTCAGAAAAACACAATTCTTACTTTTCCTATTAAATCTGTCATTCGTGTATCTGCAGAACCAAAACCAACATTGTGTAAAATCGTCTAGGTTAATGATTCTTAATGAATAATGTCAAGCTTGTCTGATTTGATGACAGGTATTTATTTATTGTTTTACAGATAACATACTTCACAGGGTTACCTTAGAGGTAAAAATCTCCTGACAGAACTTGGTTTTGACTCGTCGGAGACAGCGAGGGGAAGATGAACATACTTTTTGTCAAGCACACATTGTAAACAACTGAGCAATATTTAAGTCTAAATGGCGTACCATAGAATAGGTGAGAGACAACAAAATGTAAGTAAGAAGATGTGCCTCTTGTTCGCAAAGACAAAAGTTTCATTTTTACAAAACAAATAATGGTCACTGACATTTTTCTACTTTTTTTTTTTTTTTAAGTGGCTGAGAGGTAGAATGAAGTATTTTCAGTTAAAACCAATGATTTTATTTCTTTGCTTTATCTTATCGTCATAATGAGCGAAAACATTACGAGTGAATAAGGAACCCCAGCCCTCTGATTATAATGTGAAATCTGTACAAACATCTCCATTGATTGCAATATCGTTTAATTTTTTGAAATATTTTTTTATTGTGAAACTTTTTGTTTGTATCCCAAAAGTCCATCGTTATAAGCAGAGGAAATATTATTGAATTTTTCTGGTTAGGATTTCGTGGTACCTCGCCGTACGGTGGGGCAGTGAATTCCGTTTCTTCTTCTTCTTTTTTTTAATACTGCGAATAGCAACGTCAGTTCATGTTTTTTACATTTTTTGTTTGTTTTTCGTGGATGGAGTGTAGAGATGGATATATTCAGTTGGAAGTATCTGAATGAACGCTTCCGGGTCCTTCTGTGGGCGATGTCACTGACGAAGGAGTCGGAGCATCTTGCCAGCCACCGTTTGTCTGTAAAGACACAAGAAGACAAAGTTAGCGTGAATATGAATGTGATATGAAATATCATCATTCTTTATATTAAGGATGGGCTGCTAAATTGTGTCAAAAATCTCAAACACAATTAGCTTGGTTATTGTTCAGGGTTGTTATTTAACTGACTTTGGAGTCATCATGCATTTACAGAGCTCTTTTCTTCTTTAGTTTTCTCCAAACCAAATCACTAAAATTAAAACAAATAAACACAAACTACAGTTAATATGAAATAAAATAAAAAGAGTGGTTCTAGATTTATAAGAAAAGAGTAAATAGAAGGAAAAAAAACATGTTTTTTACCCCAAAATAAAATATTCTTAGTAAAAACTCTCCTCCTTCTGTTTGTGTTGTGAACAAGAGTTAGGTGAGGAGTTTACCTCACAGGTTCATGCAAACCATGAGGCTGGAGCCTGGAGGTGTTTAACTCGGCTGGTTCTGATCAGATATAATAAAAACAATCTGCACGTTGGCATATTGCTACTCACTAACACATTATGTCCTGTTTTCTTTAAAATCAAAATATGCCAGGGATGACGCTGGTCACAACTTCTACACTTCGGTTTTGTGCAGAGTAAATTAATACGTTATAATGCGTTAATTAATCTGCAGACTCCTGTCAGAGCGAGGCTGGAATATTTTCTTTATGTTGAGCCAAATGACCACACAGGACAGTGGTATTAATCTGCCCATTGGACTCTTAAACAGGGAGACAATAAGACGATTTATAGAGCTTTTTGCTGTAAAAATGAAACTTCATCATATGCTTTCATTACAAGGGACTACCGGTGCACTACACCCTAGTTTTATAAAGTACCCATACGCCATACAGCTACACTGTAACTGATTATACTCTAATATCTACAGGAAGATACTATAATAGGTGTGTGCATATGTGTTAGTATGCTGGGTCACTACTGTAATTCACTGAGGTAAGTTTGCTTGGAAAAACTAATGAATAGTGAAGATTTCTTTGAAAATTACAGTTTTACTTTAAAATATACACAAACCTTTTTACAGTGTGCTGTACAGACTCACCCGTCCCCCCAGATATGTTCAAATAGAGCCAAATATTGAGCCCAACAAAAGCACTCTTTGCCTTCTATATGACATCTATGTAATATAAACCACACTACTTAATATTTACATCTTTAGTGTATTGATTGAAGACAATAAATGTGGAACTACACCTGCCAATAAAAAGGAGTACGCTATAGGTAACGCCTTCGAAAAATATTCACAGCAGAAGGTTTTGCTTAGCAGGTTTTGTTGTTAAATATATATGAAGAATACCAGGTAAACCCTAAACGTAAAAACAAATATAAAAGACTTCCTCAAAAGCAGTGATGTTGCTCCTAAAACCTCTAAATGAAAGCACTAAAAACTGTCAAACGATGCTTTCAGAAAAAGAAATAAATTATCATGCCACTTCTTTCACTTGGACCTCCACATGGTCGACATAATGTGAGATAAACAGCAAAGATAAAACAGCGAATACGCAGACCTTTCATATATCTCAGAATATACCCCTGAGATGGATGATAAAAGAATAAATTATCACAATAAAAAAAAAGCTCTTTAAAATGGAAGCCTTCTCAAATCATCATAAAAGGTTGGCTAAAGACCATTAATTGCAATTTCAACGCTATTAGTGAGTGCTGGGAATGTGCTTTGGCAGCCTCTTATTTCCAAACCCTGTTATTTTGTGTAAAGACCGTCTGTCATCTTATTCAGAAGCAAGAAGAGGGAAAAAAGAAAGAATGAGGAGGGGAAAAAAATGCATTTCCAGTCTCAGAGAAAGTCGACACCCACTAGCAATTTGAGGGGCTGTAATTGCTGTTCAAGCATAAAGAAGGAGAGGTGAACCACGAGAGTTCAGTCAATAAATCTTAGAAAGAATATAAAAAAAATATCATTTGGGCTAAATAGATGCACGACTTCATTCATAAGCTTCAATAAAACACTGCAATTTTTGTTAGTAAAACTGTAAAAGAGCCTCATATTGTTAAGAATTTCCAAAATAGTTATTTCTATTCTTTTCTAAAGCTTTCAAAGTAAGTGTTTCTACTCAGGCTGGATCTGCGATCTATTTCACAACAAACAGCACAATTAGTTTTAATTATTTTTAATATATCGATTACTGCAATTTGAATTTTGCAGGGTGGCTCATTTGAGTTTTGGTGGGGTGGGGCTTGCCTTGACAATAAAAGCACTTAAAAACCAAATGCGTCGTTGAGCATCCAGTTCCAATTTATTAATGAAGCCATTTATGGTAGCTGCAGTTTAACCACTCATTTATGTATGACAATTACACTGCAGTCATGATACGCTACGTTTCTCTGAATTACTAATTCATTTGATATTTGATGTTTAAAAAAATCCTCAAAGACTAATGAAGATAAAAGAAAAAAGCATTTAGAGCAGAACAAAGTTTTTTATAATCCTCTACTACCTCCACATATAAAAAGCGTTTTTTTATGAACAAAAAGCAAAATTAATAAGAAAAAGAAAGAAGCCAAATTAGCTGCGCGACTGAGGTCAGAGATTCATAATTTGGTGTGTTGTTATTAGTCTAAATTACAAATGTAAAATGAGCCTGTTGCATGCTGCAGCGCGCTGGACGCGTCCTCGTTCTTATTTTAGCACGAGGGGTGTTCCAGGCTTGGCTGTCAGTGCTGCTGTTCCTGTGGATGAATGATCTGGCCAATGTGCTTGGACTGTTAGCCCAAAGCCTCGCTCTTTCTGTCCCTGTGACTGTCGTATTGATTCTGTTCAGCCCCGCTCGGCCTGTCGCTGTGGATCTACATGCTAACTCACTGCCTCGAGTGCTGCCTGTCCCGCCCTGCCCGGCCCAGCAAGGAGACCGAGACAACTGGCTGAGGCTTTGACAGGCTGCTTAACGAGTTATTTTAAGGATTAGCAGCAACTCTGAACTTCTTTTTTTTCCAAGCCAGTCTTGGAGGGGGAAATAAATATGAGTCGTCCTACAGTGGCAATGACAGAGCAGCGTCTGGTGCGACGATGACACCTGTGTCCTTGTTTCTGTCGACTGCAGGTGCCTCGCTAACGCTAATATCCTCCGACAGGCTAGGAGCATGTCCAGCTACTCAGCCTGGTAGCTGCCTCGTTGCCTGCCACCATAGGGCACGACTGGGGCAGAAGACAGAGGGGGGTTGGGGGCAAATGGCTGGACAACAGCCCAACCCCGGCAAAGTCTGCTAAGTGGCATTTTAGTGTGCATACAGATTTAGGCGATATCACCAACATTGTGCAGCTGGGGAATCACTGCAAAGTAAAAGAGCAAAGAAGCACTGAGAAGGACAGAATGAGATTGTTTACAGGTCTTACGTTGATGCCCTGTGGACTGTACATCTGGCTGGCTGCGAGGCTGTCACTGTATCCTCCGGTCTGGCTGATAACATGGCGAAGGGTATCCACCTGGAACAGCGGGGACACAGACAAAAGGACCAGTAAGACAAAAGCTCTGGATAACAAAGACAGTAATGCACAAGGAAAGGTCAGTCTGATAGTAAAAGGGTATCATAAACAGGAAAAGGTTACAAACAGCGAATCAGAATGATTTGGCCTCTATTACAAGCTCGATAACAGACGCCACAAAAGGACAAAAACACAGGAGTAAATATAGGATAGCTAATTATCAATGTATTTGTTGTTCTTGTTGTATATTCTTATGTCCAGACTTGTGTCTTTTCTTTAAACTATTTAAAGTCGAGCAAACACTCAGATGAAGTGCCACAGTATCACCTGCTGCCAATAAAACCATGGTGTGATGCAGGATTTGTTCTACTGTTAACATTTTGTCATGCTCTTTCCAGATTCCACAGTCCAATTCATATTTCTTTATATTTGTTTTCCCCAGAAACACACTTTCCATATGGATTTCACAACAAATCTGACTGCTCTACCAACTAGACAAACATATATGAATTTGTACTTTGTGCCTTTTTTATACTTGCAAATCTTTGAGATTGAGGTCATTCATTCGTGATCAGAAAAATAAACCCTTTCGGGTTCAATAATTAAGGGCAAACCCCGAAGACCTTTTTATCTACGATAAGGGCCGTCCCTTCTGCATATTCATGAACGACCTAAAGCGATTGGCGTGCTGATCAGAACAGAAGAGGAGGAATGGAGGGAGAAGGAAGTGATGCCGAAAGCACTGAAACCAAATGAGGCCTTCACTACGGGTGGTGATTCCTTAATCCGTGGTGAGAGTTGTAACACTGCGTTGGTCATGACTGTCCACTGGGGCAAGGTCAGGGAGCTACAAAGTGCACCAGTGGCTATGTGAACTCTTGTCAGAGGTGCTGATGAGTGTTGCACCGTTTCCAAAACTGTCCGCAGTCGTCTACTCAACTGTGGCTTGACAATGGTTTCTACATTAATGTAGTGCTTCAGGCTAAGTATAACCTCCGTTTCACAATGTAGGTCAAGTTATTGTGGGCATCTAAACTCCCAGACTGGTCAGCGGTTAAACCACATCACAAACGAGCTCAGGAATGTGCCAGTTTACGGCCACATGGGATGCTAAACTTGGAGAGGCGCCTACCTGGGATTGTATGTTGGCCCCAACCTGCCCCCCTTGGTACGAGTCCCCATTGAGGGACTGCACACTCATGAACAAGTCTCCGGAGTTTGACATGTTAAAAGAGCCAGCAGAACCTGAGAATACACAGAGGCAGAAGAAAAAGAAAGACGCGCAGACAGGAGGAGAAGGATCAGAAGAAAGGGGATAGTAACAGAGAAGAAGAGGGGGACAGAAAAAGGAGTTAAAATGAAATCATGCATAAGCACAAAGGCATTGAATGGGTTAGTTTGAGAGCGTGGCAGGCATTATGAAAAAGACTTTTTCTACAAAGTTGCACACAATAGACGCACTGAATCAACCAGCAAGAACAATCCGACAGGTTCTCGTTGTAAAACTGTTTAAGATCCAATTAAAACGAGCCTCATGGATCATATTACTGTTACATGTCCGTGCTGCTAGTGTTTCATTAAGGAAGTAATAATTGATCTGCAGGAAGACCCAAAGAATCGTATTCGTCCTTTAATGGACCCCAGCTCCCCAGATGTAAAGAGACCATCGCGTAACTTGATTTCAACACCCGGTCCTAATCCAATACAGTCGCAAAGTCTCTATATGACAAAAGACTCCGCTTGCCCTCTGAGCAGCTTAATGGCATACATGAGGTCAACCGGACAAGAGGCAGGAAAAATTAACGTCCACAAGACCAAGAGGTCAATAACAGAGAGAGAGAGTGAGAGAGAAAGAGAGAGCGAATGAGTGAGGGAGGAAGATAACGACGGCAGAGAAGAAAGGAAGAAAAATGGAAGAAGAACGGCAAGAAAGCCAAAGTGTATTACTGGGTTAATTAAGGAGAGCGTTCTGTTAGTCTATAAGAAACATCACCAGAGACTGAATTCTTGAGTTGTGGCTTTGGTATGAGAACGTCAATACGCTCCATCTTACGCTTCTATCTGCTCTGGTGAACAACAAATATTGATAACGCCTCTATTGATGGAACTTGTTTCACTATAGCCCAGCGGCCTTTAATCAGAGCCCGAAGCTCACCTGCTGAATTGGGAGTAGATGGGGAGTTGGCCTGGCTGCCGTGAGCGGACACGCTGGTTGCATTGACTGCAGTCCTCGCTGCATACATGTTGGCCTCTTCTTGGAACTTGCTGATGTTTTTCTTGTATCGGATCCTCTTATTCCCGAACCAGTTTGATACCTGTCAAGACGGTAGCAAGATAAATAAAAGCAAATATAAGATGATACTCTGCACACCTAAAAAGTCTGAGTCATGCCATGTACACCAGTTAGCACAATAACCTCCTCTCTTCTTTGCACGGTATTTCATGTTGCTTGCGAATTAATTCTCATGGAACAGAGCAATATGGAAAGCCCTCCATCCACTTTCTTCTGCTTATACAGACACCCAGACCTCCCTCTCTCCAGCCACCTCCTCCACCTTATCTGGGGGAAAACTGAGGCCTTCTCAGCACTACAGAAATATAACAGCAGTATTCCAGTAGCACTCTTCTTGTTTTGATGAGGACTTCATGGACCAGATTTAACTTTTTCCTGCAGTTGAACTGCAAATGACTGTTACCACCTAACCTAGAACCCATTTCATGTATTTCTACAGAAAAATAATCTGCTATTGAAGATAAGTCAGAAAAATAATCTTGTATTGGTGCAAAAAACCCCAAAACAAAACAAAAAAATTGGCAGATGCATGACACTGCAAAGCTGCTGAGTCCAAAGTTGAAGCAATCACAAGAAATTCACTAACGACTCTTATATGCAGATTCTCTGACATTTACTGTCATAGAAATGATACCAATTCATGCTGCATAGTTACACTGGCTGGCTGACTGGCTCTCCAATAAAACAGCCCAAGGCAGAAGTGGCTCTGCACTTCAAGCAGGTAAATGATCAACTTTCCATATTCAGCTTTTGCCACGCTCTACATGTTTGAATTTGGTTGCTATTCCCTGTGAGTTTTTTAGCCCTATTCAAATTAGATTTTTGGGTGGTCGTCTTTATTACTAGTATTTATTTAAGAAGTGATGGAAAATTATAGCCAGCGTACCAACTGAGTAAAAAAACAAAACAAAAAACAATGAAACAACCCAAAAAGAAAAACGAGGATCCATGATAAAGCAAAAATGTTACAGTACAAAAAGAAAATGCATGCAAAAAAGAAGCTTTTATAGTTAAAGTCTTTGTAACTATCCAGTCTTTCCATGAAAAAACTGTGAATCATTTTTTCATCAACTGACTGTCAAATGCTCCTGGAAAGGTATTGGTAGCTTTGGAAACTACTGACAACTTGGTAAGAAAACCAACTGTTTTTAATGTGAGTGTTTCTAATGGTAACCCCAGGCTGACAGGGCTCCCGACCGCTGAAGCACAGAGCCCTGCTGATTTAGAATAATTGAATTGTTTTTGAGCAACACACTTACCACAGAGCCTAATTTTCTCAATTTGCCTAGGATCTTACCTGTGACACTGTGATGCCACATTTTTTGGCCAGTTCTTCTTTGGCCTCCTCGCTGGGATAGGGGTTACTGAGATGGGAGTAAAAATACTCGTTTAGGATCTCTGTCGCCTGTTTGTTGAAGTTCCTCCTTTTTCGCCTGATCAGAAAAAACACAGAAGAGAAAAATGACTCCTCCCTTGCACCATCAATAATCAATAACTGTAATAACAAAATCAAATGGAGTGATAACAAAAAAGCAGCTTAGAGTCAAATAGAAATATAAGTACATATGAATAAGATTTAGTTGGGGGCGCACAGACACACACCTGGCATCAAGAAAGCGTGAGCGCAGGATCATAACAGCTTCACAGGTGCTCTGCTTCAGCTGCATCTGAATGGAGCTGAACTTGCGGTGGATGATGCTGACCATGCGCTCGATCTCTTTGGGCGAGATGGGTCGTGTTCGAGACTGCTCCCTCAGCAGGTTCATCACATGGGTGGTGAACTCATTGCACGCCTGGATGCACAGACAGGCAGGATTCATAAAAAGAATAACTATCGCAGAGGCTCGACAGCTTCAGACAGAACAAAAGGATGAAATTGGATTCTGGTGAGCCTGCACCTTCACTGGTAAGCCTTGGCACGAGCAGTGCTGACAGTGTAACAGCAGTAGTGTTAGAGGTAATAAGAATAGTCTGAATTAAAGCGGCAGACACGCAGCGATGTTTCAAGCCAAACAAATGTGGCAGCGGAGTCATACAGCGGAGGCAGCGAGCACTTGCAGTGCTCTGAATATTAAAAAGACTTCTCTTCAATAGCAGAGAGAATGTGACAAGTGAAGAGAAATCTAAAATGACAGCAGGCTTTCAGTCCCGTTCATGTTCAAGAGGTTTAAACTGTCTCCCTCTCTTTTCACTCCATCTTTCCGTCTACCTCGTTCTCTCTCTGTCTGAATCAGTCACTGGATATGACTGCATTCAGAGTCAAGGTGTCTGTTGCTTGTCAACACCAGGGTTACGTCAGTCAAAGTGATGCACTGAGCAGCCGTTCTGCTTGCACACACACACGCTAGACACTACTCACTCATACCACGTGAGGTGTACATAGCGTGGTGACACAAAAATGCTCAGGTGTATATTGGCTTTGACAGTTAGCGATGACTAGCCTTCCTCGGAGAAGATGACAAACCCAGAACGCTTTGACTTCCACGGGAATGACAAGATGTTACAGTCTTTGGAAAAGAGCTGGTGTGTGACTGATATAATGGCTGTTTGCCTGCTGAAGATAGCATCTCCGAAAGGCTCGGCTTGCCTGTCCCACGAGTGCTGATTTCAAGAACATTATACTCTTAGACTGACAAAATTACTTAAACATCCTCAGGAAAATATCTCGTCTGTCCTTTACCAACTTATTCCTATTTAGGCTGGCAGCGTGGAGCCTCTCCCAGCATGCAAAGGGCAAGAAGATCTGGTCTGGACGGGACGTTAGAAAGCTAAAATGAAAAGCCAGATCCTCAACATTACAAAAACAGTGAGGTCATACTGACAGAACGGCAAGATCTTCCATCCACATTGATTTTTGGAACTGCTGAAATTTATGCCAACAATTCTCACAAAATACAGATTCTGTATCCATCAACATGAAAGTGCAACGTTTTGCCTTTTTTCAAACACTTAACACCAAAGAATAGAAAAATCACATTTTTGCTGACAAAAGGTTTTCTCTAATAAAATAATGAATTTACACACAGGATTCCTTGTTACATATATCCATATACACAATCCAAGAAAAAAGGGAGTTTCGTACCATTGACTGGCTCATGGGCACATCAATACGGGAGATCATCCTTTTAAAGGGGGGTTAAATTTATGTGTCTTTCGTTGAGCAAAGGGCTCAGTTTTCAGGAAAAAAGCCTCACTTACATACAGCTTATGTATGCACTCGCATTATACTAAAACAGCAACATAAATAACTTGTGCACACAGAGGACCTGAGCTAAATCCGTGATCCATGATAGCTGAGGAAGTGTTGAATGTGTTTTGAAGCAACGTGTAATAAAGAATGAGCTTGCTTTACCCCCACCTGCTCGTACTTCTCCAGCTCCGTGTGGTAAATTTGCCGGATCTGAGACAGCTTGGCCCGATAGTCAGAGTGCTCTGCTGAGTTGTCGGCGCCAATGCCGCCGGTGGCTGCCGCTGCGGCGGCCGCAGCTGCCGACCCGCCGCCTTTCTCCGGTCCGGCCACGCCCTCCGCCAGCAGCATGTTGTCCAGTCTCATCAGCTGGGGGTCTGGAGGCTCCTCCTCCTGGGCACCTCGAATACTGAGCACTGTGGAGGACAGAAGAAGAGGTCACGAGAGCAATGATGTAATACGGGCCGATCTGCATGGGTGTTCAAAATGACTGTGGGTATAAAAATTTTACAGCGCCTGAGAAAGGAGTCTTAAGTATTCTTCCATTTTACTGAGTAGACACCCTGAAATACAGGCGTCATTAAAAGAGTTCAAGTCCACGCCATAAAAACCTGCAGCCTTACACAGGCTGGCAGCTGAGCAAGAGCATAAAACTATCATTTCATGCAAAAAAAGAAAAAAAGAAAAACGACACAGACTCCTACCAGAGTTCATGTTTCATGTCTCTAGCTGAGGTTCAGTTTCTAGCTGAGGGCTTTATTATCCTGTTAATGTCTAAACAGAAAAACAAAACAATTATGAGTCCTGCCAGAGTTTGAGTTAAATAAAATAGTCCCAGTGCCATATTTACACACAGAAATGAAAAATGATGAGTACATTAAAGAAATATAGTAACATTAATCATAATTAAGAGTTCAAAATGCATCACTTAACAAAGAAAATATTCTTTCAGTAGGAATAAATCTAACATTTGTTTCAAGCTGTATCCATATCTCTCCCTTCTGTACACGGCCTAATAACAGCACGCCTCGGACGCTGGTGCCACAGCCACTGTTTAGATAGGACAGCGTCTGAAGCTAAACTGAAGCTTCTCATACCTACAGGCGCTCAGCTCTCGGCTGACACTCATCTCCCATGGTGTGGAGAGTGAAGTGTAAACACAGCAAAGACAGGCCTGCTGAGGTGGACAAGCACAAATGACATACCACACCACAACACGCACAAGTGCAGGCTCAGCTCGCACGAAAACTCTCCGCCGGTGGCTCTTCTAACACTATTTTAACTGTGCACAAGTGGTTCACCCTCACTTTCAAACAGAGAACGAGGTTTTTTTTACTGCCCTGCCTCTTTCTGCCACCAGAAGGCTCCCTCGGTAAAGAAGCAGAGCGTCCTGCTTTTCAGCGAGCAGCTGAAAACAGCCGACCAGGTGCAGCCCCTCCGTTCCATCCCCTGTCTTCAAGGACAAAGACAAAGCTGCCACGACATTTGTCATGCACACTTTAATCCACACATCAATCAAAATGCTTAAAGAGGACGGTCTTACATTACATACTGTACGTCCCTTCCGTGATGGCTGTAGGCAGTGAGGGGATGTGACAGGCTGTGTGACAGAGAAAGCCATATTGTAGCTAAACAGTCTCAGGTCACAGCGACGGCTCCTTTGTAATGAGGATGTAAGGCTGAGACGCCCTGTGACCTTTCCGGGGAGCAGGGGGTCCAGATGGATTCCAGGAGCCGCGTGGGGAGCTTGTCTACCACAGTCCACCTCTTTTCAACTACCCCCCCCGTCACCACCCCGACCACCACATCCACCCCCTCCACCTTTTTTTCCCCTTCCCTCCCTTTTTCTCCTCCAGCAATAACATCATCCATTCCCATCAGCTCCAACACGTGAGCAAGCGCAGCTCAGGAGGCAAATGTCAATGGCTATCAGACGGCTGGAAAAGGTCAGGAGTTCAGATGGGGGGGAGTGGGCGCATGTGCGCGAGTGTGTGTGTGTGGGCGCATGTGCACATGTGCTGGTAGATGAATATGTGGATATTTTTCATGTGAATCACACCAGCGGGAAATTATAACACTCGCCAATTTGATTCTGACAAAATAGTGGCACATCCCTACCAGAGGGGGAATCTAATGAGCCTAAGAGTGATTTATTCATTCCCTCCAAGTCCCCGAGTGCACAACTAAAAGCATGAAATGGATTAAATAAATACAATTAATAAGGAAAATCAAACAATTCACTGTGCTGTGGCATAATTACCCCAACCACAGCCATCAGCTTTATTTATTTCTGTTCAGTAATAGCAATGAAATCGATTAGACCTCAATGCCAGTCAAAGCGCTCGTCGTGAACTCTGCGACCACGGACTATACATTAACGTAATCACCTGACAAAGGCGAGTGCCCTCTATTAAAATAAGTCACCCGCTCCCAACAGTTGCACAACAACAACAACAATGGCAGCAAAAAAGAGAAGAAAAACTCTTTAACACACACTTTTGACTTTCTCTGGTGGCGACAAAGGAGCGGAGACCGCCCCACTCTGCGATTCTCTTATTCCACGGACAGTCACAGATTAGTATCTATAAAAGGAAGATGGCCATCATCTCATCTTGATCATTACCGACAGACTTAATTGAACAATGAGAGGACGCAATTCCCCTCTCTGTCGCTTCCTCCTTCCCTCCCTCCCTCCATCCTTCCTCCTGTCGTCTCTCCTTCCCTTTGTTTGCACGTTCTTGTGTCAATTCTTTCCCGAGATTTGGGCCACCAACCCCACAACCACCAAAAAAAAGGGCAAAAATAAATGTGCATCGCAAACTATTCTCGAGCCACTTCCTATATGATGAATGGACTTCTAAGAATAAGCCTTTGTTTTGCTTATTGACAGGATTAATTTATGCCGTTTTACTTCCTTAAGAGCTGGCTCATGCCCATCGCCGCACTGCCTGCTGTTTGCAGACAACAGGAGTGTAAATAAACATGACGATTAAGCCACCCACTCATACAGGGAGACTCAAGGTACAAGGAACGCACACACACACAAACACACATGCAAACACACTGGATGAACAAATGTAAGCACTCTTAATAATGAGGAAGCACACAGTAAAAAAAATACACAGCTACGCACATTGCCGGACTACCCTGAGCACCCAGCCTGGCGCCCTGCAAGCTTTTTTAAATGAAAACATGTTTAATTAATGACGTCAAAGTATTCTGTCACAATTAGGAAGATTTACAATCAAACAAGGCAGCAGTGATGTCCCTGACAGCCACGATGAAAGTTTAGCCTTCTTGCCTCTGACTGGCAGCTAGCAGCCAACACTGGACTGGATCCATTTCCCATCAATACAGTAATGCAATACACTCCACAGCCCCGTAGTGTGTATGTATGTGTGCGTCCTCTCTCTTGCCTAGCTCTTGTCCACATCACATGACCCCAGAGAGGACCAGGCAGTGGCTGTGCTCTGTATTGATTGTGTGGGCAAACGTCATCTTGGGTTTCAGCAGTTAATAAATCAGGCCTGCTCCTGACACAAACGCGTGTGTGTGTGTGTGTGTGCGTGTGTGTGTGTGTGTGTGTGTGTGTGTGTACGTGTGTGTGTGTGGGCCTGTCACAGACCAGTCAGCAGGAGTGAAAGCGACAGCCACATGATAATGTAACATCACCACCATTCATCCCTGCCACACAGCATTCTGAGACAAAACAACAACAACCTAGGAACCTGAAAAAAGCAGCGTGATTTACAGCAGACATGACAAGTATCACTAATACAAATCCTCCCCCCCCCGCGCCTTCAAGGAGTTCACCATCCTGCCCTCATCTGCATCTGATACAAGCCCAATAACGCAGTCTTCATAAGAGGCAGCACTGAGCCATATCTCATGCAGACACGACGTAGAGGTGAACTACATTTCTACACAATGCTATTATCATCAGCGAGAGCACTAAATGAATATTGCGTTACATTACGTCCAATTTACGGTATGCGCTGTGTGATCATTCCTCCCGAATTCGATTTGGGCTTTAATAAAGAAAAGGACAATCGTTACGAATTCGCCAATCAGACATCTCGACAAAATATCAGCCGTGAAAACATTTAGATTCTTCATCCTTAAAGTCCTTTTTTGCCATGTTTCTGCAGGATGTGTGATTTATGCGCGAACTTTCTCCGGCTCCGTACGTTCTGTCAATGAGATAATGGAAAGCTGTTTAAAGATTACTGCGCCGATTTAGCGTCGCGCACCTATAACACTGTCTGACTCACAATGGACAGTTAAATGGACACATTTTAAATTCCATTCATTCTTCCTTAGTGTCAAAATATGGCACCTACATTACCCACAATTCAACGGCTCAAAATAATACTGCATAATAGCAGAGACGGCGACATGTGTCAGCCTCTTTCTAGTGCTCCTTAAGACCTGCAATCACACTGTGATGTGGAGCTCTCTTTAAACGTGGCCCAGAGATAATTCTCCTCTCCAGCGTGCATTGTTTCATTGAACTGCTTGCTTTTGGTTTATTTCTGATGCACTGAAACTATTTTAAATTTGATTAATATCGCGGCAGTTCAAAGGGTAATTCCTCTCAAAGCGAGGTGAGGAGCTCACAATTTTAGCCGCGAAAGAGTACGTATTTCAGCATCGATCTGTAATTTCCAAAGCCCTGTCGTTTTGTGCGAATTACAGCACCAAGCTCAAAGATATTAGGTTACTAAATCGACTGCAAAAACTGGAATCCTCACGACAGGGAGCTGCAGCAGGCGATGCCGGTCAGTTTTTGACCCCTGCATTCGTCACAATACTCTGTGATTGAATTTTCTGTCAACTCGCCGATCAGGTAATCACTGTTTCATCTGTACAGACGAGTCCGACGGCACTGATCTCGGCTTTCAAGCTCGACACTTTTCAATGCTCACAGTTACAAACACATTTCACTTGGTAGCGGGAAAGCAATCATCATAAAACGCGGTATTGTGACATTTTTCAAACTGACCCCACAGAGTTGAGGTAAACTACTGAGCAATGCAATTATCATTACCGAGAACACTGAATGAATATTATGTTACATTAAATCCAATTTACTGTATATGTGGTCATTTCTATTGAATTGAATCTGGGCTTTAATAAAGAAAGGACAATCATTATGAAATTACTAATCATAGCTCACAGCCTGCGCATGAAAACTCTTTAACACTGAGCTGTTTACAGGGGCAAGAGACGAGTTGGGGTTCTTTTTTTCTGACTTATTGTCATGAAGTAATTAAGGCTCAATTGCGTAACCAAAGCAGGAAGAGGATATAATGATGGACATGGAACAAGTATGGAAACCAATATGGAAGCAAATATGGAAACTGGCTGACAAGTGAAAAACACCCATGTTTGTTGGAGGAAAGCAAAAAAATAAAAG